TGGAATATTTTATTTTATTAGGTATAGAAGAGTTTTCAGTTATGTATGTTCCTAGTAAAGTAGTAAAATTTGAGTTTGTTAATGCAGTGAGCATGAAGTGTGAGTGATAAATATTGTATATTCATTTTTTCTTTCCTCCACCTATCTTTCTGTTGAAATGTAGATGATTTTTGTTGTTTATTGTTAAAAGGCCATGGACCTTTGATAGTGCTATTTCAATAATAATAATAATAATAATAATAATAATAATAATAATAATAATTGCAACATGCTTATTTGGAAGTACATCCTGTACATCTCTGTAGAACCTACTGTCAGTTTGCTTAGGATTTTGTTGATGGCTTTTCCTGATATTGTAATACACAATGCATCAAAGAAGGTGAATGCTGTTTTGGCCTATAACAATAGAAGCATAGTTTTCGATTCAAGGGCAGGAATTGTCCCAGTATAGTCTGTACTGCTCAGGCCTCATGACGTCCAGATCTTGGAACATCGTTATAAGAAGGATATAGTCAAGTTGGAGCTGATTCAAAGAAGGGCAACAAGAATAATAAGAGCAAAACCTTTGAAGAAACGTTGATGGAACTGGGCATGTTCAGCTTGATGAAGAGAAGACAGAGGGGCAACATGATTGCCTTCTCTAAATACCTCTAGGACTGCCACAAAAGGAGAGGGCAGGCCTTTTCTCTGCTTATATGGAGAATAGGACCAGGTCTCATGGTTTGAAGTTACAGGAGAGTAGATTTCATCTGAACCTTCTTGACAACAAGTGTGGTTTGGCAATGGAACTGATTGCCTAACAAGATAGTGGGGTTTCCTTGTCTGGATGTCTTCAAAAAGAGGCTGGATAACTACCTGCGGGGGATACTTTAACTCAGTGGTTCTCAACTTTCCTAATGCGTGACCCCTAACACAGTTGCTCATGTTGTGGTGGCCCCCAACCATAAAATTATTTTCGTTGCGACTTCATGAACTCTAATTTTGATACTGTTATGAATCATAAAGTAAATATCCTATATGCAGGATGTATTTTCATTCACTGGACCAAATTTGGCACAAATACCCAATACACCTAAATTTGAATAGTGGTGGGTTCAGGGTGGATTTTGTAATTTGGATTTGTAATTGCTGGGATTTATAATTAACCTAATTAATTAAGAAGGACGGGATACAAATGCTCGAAATAAAATAAAGAAAATTAATAAATAAACTTGGCACACAGAACTCTCATGATCAAGAGACAATACTGGAAGGGTTTGGTGGGCATTGACCTGAGAGACACTCCTTATGATATGCAAAATAAAAAAAAAATGTAAGGTTGTCATTTATATTATGATGTGCAAAACAGACAGTTTATGTTTGTCATTTTTATGTTCTGTTATGCAGAATAAGACAATTTATGGTTGTCATTTTATGTTACGATCTGCAGAATCAGACAATTTATGGTTGTCACCAGCATGCCAAAGCAAACAACTTTTGCATAATAGGGAAAATAAGCATTTTATAACTGATGTGGCAACTTAATATATTGCCAGAAAGAGAAGAAATTTTATTTATTTTATTTATTTATTATTTGAACTTATATGCCGCCACTCCCCTGGGGCTCAGAGCGGCTTACAAGAACAGGCTAAAATCGAACACAATCAAACAGAAATGCAGGATCAAGAAAAGCAAGGCGGAAGAGGAAAAATATTTGTTTATATGTTGTTGTTGTTGTTTATTCATTCAGTTGCTTCTGACTCTTCGTGACCTCATGGACCAGCCCACGCCAGAGCTCCCTGTTGGCTGTCACCACCCCCAGCTCCTTCAGTGTCAAGCCAGTCACTTCAAGGATGCCATCCATCCATCTTGCCCTTGATCGGCCCCTCTTCCTTTGACCTTCCATTTTCCCCAGCATCATTGTCTTCTCTAAGCTTTCCTGTCTTCTCATGATGTGGCCAAAGTACTTAATCTTTGCCTCTAATATCCTTCCCTCCAATGAGCAGTCGGGCTTTATTTCCTGGAGTATGGACTAGTTTGCTCTTCTGGCGGTCCAAGGTACTCTCAGAATTTTTCTCCAACACCACAGTTCAAAAGCATCTATCTTCCTTCATTCAGCCTTCCTTATGGCCCAGCTCTCACATCTGTAGGTGACTACGGGGAATACCATTGCTTTGACTATGCGGATTTTTGTTGCCAGTGTGATGTCTCTACTCTTCACTATCTTATCGATATTGGTTATTGCTCTCCTCCCAAGAAGTAATCGTCTTCTGATTTCCTGGCTGCAGTCTGCGTCTGCAGTAATCTTTGCACCTAAAAATACAAAGTCTGTCACTGCCTCCATGTTTTCTCCCTCTATTTGCCAGTTATCAGTCAGTCCGGTTGCCAGAATCTTGTTTTTTGGATGTTTAACTGCAACCCAGCTTTTGCACTTTCTTCTTCTTTTTCTTTTGTTTATATGTACAGAAGCAGAAATAATTACTATAAACTGAAGTACAGTATCTCTCATTATAGGCACAACTTTACTGGATCAGTGCCTGCATAGCCAGCTTTCCAGTGCTAATTCCTAAAGGACAATTCAAGGCCCCACTCTCTTCTCGCATGATTCTTTGGGTTTTAATCAGACTTCTTACATTGGAGGGGTCTTCAAATAGAGGACCGCCTCATGTGAAATAGTGCACATGGGCATCCTGTTTGTTATAGAAGCATGACAGGTGATAAGCTGCTATATGTCTCGACATTTTAGATCCAGGCCTGTATTGAATACTGCAGTAACCCAAATGAGTTATTGAGGTCAAATGCTTGTATTTCAAGAAAGGCCACTATTTCTCACCAGGCTACACTAGTAGAAGGCGCCCCTATGGCTACTGCTGTCTTTGGATAATTCAACAGCAGCAGAGTGTAAGGTTCATGACTAGACTAGGCAGTTTTTTTTTTCCTTCAAGGAAATGTTGCTCTTCCTAAGATTAGCAAACTCATGTTTTCCCCCTTGCTTTCACCAAACTGAAAAATCCTCAGTGTGTGGTAAACAAGATATTATATGGTTTTATAGTTCTTAGTTTTATATATCTGAAAAGCTCATGTGCATTTTTCCTTGAATAAAAATACTTTAAACAAATCCTATGTGTTTCCAGTCTTTGAAGATTTTATGTCCAACAAACCAGCTTAATGGATATCTGTTATACAGGTGCTATCAAATACTGGAGGAAGTTTTAATATTTTATCTGCTTTCTTACAATTAAATGGCTGCTATTCTGTGCTGCCATGTTTGGTTTCCCAATTCAAGGCAGAAGCCCAGAACACTGTCCCATTGCCATCAATCCATGTAAGCACCCAGTTTTCCATTGCAAAAATAGTTCACCCTGGGGGATAAATTTACACTTATTCAAAGAGGATACTTCTCTCATGAAGATATACAATGGTTTTGTTCCAGAAATTTCACTTTTTTGTTTTGATATTGTTTATGCCTTTGAAAGTCTTTTCATAGTCTTGTGTGTGACAGGAGTGTTAATTTTGTAATATTTATTTATTTACTATATTTGTATACCACCTTTCTCAGCCCAGAGGCAACTCAAGGCGGTTCACAGGTGGCAACAATTCGATGCCACAACAATTAAAAACAATGTAAACAGTCATGAATACTATTAAAACATTTAGCATATAGTATAAAAACAGTACAAAGCCAAAAAAACTTTATCATAAATGTCTCCTTACCGTTAAGTTGCTCAACGATTTCATATTTACCAAATTATGCTGCATTAGCGAAAGCTTGCTCAAAAGCCAGGTCAGAAGAGAGGGGCTCGCATTTATAATCCTAGGCAGGACATTCCACAGCTGAGGGGCCACCGCTGAGAAGGCCCTGTCTCTCGTCCCCACCAAACGCATCTGTGAAGGAGGCGGGACCAAGAGCAGGGCCTCCCCAGAAGATCTTAGAGTCCTAGATGGTTCATAAGGAGAGATATGTTCAGGCAGGTAAGCAGGGCCAAAACCGTTTAGGGCTTTATAGGCTAAAGCCAGCACTTTGAATTGTGCCCGGTAGCAAACTGGCACCCAGTGGAGCTGGTGCAGCAGAGGAGTTGTGTGCTCCCTGAGCGCTGCTCTCATTAACTAACCTGGCTGCCACCCGTTTGACCATTTAAAGCTTCCGAACAGTCTTCAAAGGCAACCCCATGTATGGTGTGTTGCAGTAGTCTATACGGGATGTAACCAGAGCGTGGACTACCGTGGCCAAATCAAACTTCCCAAGGTACAGGCACAGCTGGCACACAAGTTTTAACTGCAAATGCTCCCCTGAGACCTGGGATTCCAGGCTCAGCAATGAATCCAGGATCACACCCAAGCTGCGAAATAAAAGCTTGATTGAATTAACTTAGAATTCTCTTAGTAATTAATATCTCAGTGGTAGATAACTAAACTATAGGTATGAATGAAGGTAATATATCTGAGGCAATGTGAAATATTTTGAAAACTGTGTTTATGATGCTTGATGTCAGAGGGCTTACTCAAATATGCAGTTCACGGCCTGATTAAGATACCTAAGAATGAAAGTAAATGTGTGAATTAGTCCTTAAGCAATGGATTGTATCCAGAAATGCTTATCCAGCAGCAGAAGAACACCATTTGTGATTTCCTACTCTCCTTGGATATTGTAGTTAGGTGTTCCTCCAGAACAGATGATGGGGGTAGTTTCAGGGAAGAGGAGAGGGAAGGGAACATATGCAACCAGGAGTCTTCTAATGTGACTCTATATGGATCTCAATGTCCTTTGCTTTGGAATGAACTATTTAAGTGTTGAACTCTAATTTTTAACCCCAAAGATTGCATGAATGCTTCCTTTCCACATTGTTTGTCGTGTTTATATTCTCTCCAGTCCAAGACTGGAAAATCTCTCATTGCAAACTTTAATTTCTTAACAATTGAATATTTGCAGCAGTACAGTAGATTGGTGAAATAAGACATTACATTGAAAAATACCTCAACTTTGAGCTTAAATTTTCATTTCTTCTGTATTTCTCTTACAGGAGGTGGGAGAGCCATTCAAAGAAGAAAAGGCTGTCGCTAAATACCTGCGGTTCAACTGTCCAACCAAGTCTACCAACATGATGGGTCACAGAGTTGATTATTTCATTGGTAAATTTTATTTTTACCTAAATAAGACAGTGTCACCTCAGGGAGTTATAATGTTTGGTGGATAAATAGTAGTGTGTCATTTATTTCCTTCCACATTGCTGCCATCAGTTCTAGAAACCTTTCTGAAATAATTATACAAGCAGTCCCCAAGTTACAAACAAGATAGATTCTCCACAGTCAACATTTGGAATGGCCCCGGTCTATGAGTTTGGATCATGTGATTTTAATATTTTTATTAGGTGGTTTTAATGTTTATGTCCTCGTGACTAATTGTTGTTTTATATTTAATTATCTTATTGATTTTAATGCTCAGTTATATGTTTTGTTTAGCTCTATGATTTGGTTTATATGTATGTAAGTCATTAAATTTTTCCATTATTTGTTGTAAACTGCTATAATCCCCCCTGGGGTGAGAAAAGCGATATATAAATACAGTAAATAAATAAACAATAAATAAATTCTGTAGGTTTGTTATTAAGTTGAATTTGTATGTAAATCAGAAGAGGTACATTTTTTAAAGTATAACTTCAGCCAAAAAACTATTTTAAAGTTTTGGATAGCACAGGGCAGGGTTAACACCTATGTGGTGTTTATTTTTCTGTCTGTGCTCCTGTTCTGAAGATTTCACCTCATGTTTTGTCCCTGTGATAATTGGATTTTGAAAAAATTGACTTGTTGTGGAAACAAGAATTTGGTGATAAATCTACCCTTTTCCCTGTGATAATTCTTTCAGAAGTAAATTTCCCTTCATAAAGATAGATTTCTCTCACTTCCTGTTGTCTCACCTCCATTCTTAACTATGAGTCAGATGTTTGTAACTCGGGAATTGCCTGTAATGTAAAATTTCCATCAATAGGATGGCATCTTATGTTACTATTTTGAATATGTACAAATGCAAAGCTGGAAATGGTCAGTTATTTGGATGCCTGAAATTTTATTTTATCCATAGGCATTCTGATTATTTTACTAACAATGCGCAGAGTTATTGCCTAATACTTGGTGCTGACTCCTAACATTGCAAATCTTATCTGAAGATTATTCCATGAATATGTTTTATGCAGGAATCTCAAATAGACTCACCACTTACTTTTGCCAGTAATCTTCAAACTTTTGCTTCCACAATAATTTCCACACATTTTACATTGGTATCCGATTAATTTCTGAAATCCAGCCTAATTATCCATTTCACTTACACATCCTTCCACAGTTACCTTTTTGATCAAATCTCAGATAGAAAAAATGGAAGCTTCCTTAGCAACAGAAAATGGTTGACATTCAGAAGGCATGCTCTTTCTTCCAAAATGTATGTTCTTTCCATTACTACCAGGCATTTGGTTTTGATAATCAGTTAAAGCAGGGTGCCACTTTATATTTACAGATTTTGGTAATGTCATTACTTCTTGTTCTGTTTTAATAATGATAAACAATTAGATCTTTGCACTATCAAGTTGAAACCAGCTAAGTGTACCATGACTTAAGTTGTTTGTTTGCTTTACTCAAGTCTTTATTTGATCCAAAATATTGAAAGGATATATTTGAACACAATTGAAGTTCTCTTATAATAGTTGCAATATTATTTCAAGTTTTTCCTTTAGAAATCACTGAATGCAAAAGACTGAATGACCAGGTAGCATGAAAAAGCAATCACCTTCTTTCTTTCTCATAGTCTTTTGAGGCTTCTTACTTCCCACCATTCTTTCCTTAGCGTCGAAAGCTGTGGACTGCCTTTTGGATTCTAAGTGGGCCAAAGCAAAGAAAGGAGAAGAAGCTCTCTTTACAACTCGAGAATCTGTGGTTGATTATTGCAACAGGTAGGAGATTGGCCATTCAAAGTTATTGATTTTTAAAAATTACTCTCAAATATTTTGATGCTTTCCAGGCATCCCTTAAGTAGGCTTAAGTAGTAACTATTTTCCTACCATCTTTGAACAAGAAACCACATTCTCTTAAATCCCAGTCTCTTAGATAATTTCTGATTTTCAGATTCCTTCTTATGTTTATTTGAATATAAGTAGATACTTCCCCAATAACCAAGAACCTTTCGTTATCATGGTTCTTGATTTTTTTACTATTACAGCATACATTCAGTTGAATGAGGACCTTGAGAGCGAAGGTGATGTATATATTCTCTGCAGGTGGTCTGGTTCCAGTTTATTATTATTAATTGATACACAACATTATTTTACTCTATTTATTATTGTTATTATTACATTTATTTTACTCTATTATTATTATAGATTAGTACACAGTAAACAAGATCACTATACTGGCTTTTGTATTTGATCACACGTCAGACGCTTCCCAAGTGTCTAGGACTGTGTGATGTATTGGTGAATAATGCATGCAGATCCAAACAGAGTAGCCTTTTGCAGCTGATACATGGTAATTTTGTCAATGCCAATTGTTTTTAAGTACAGTCCAAAGTCTTTAGGCACTGCCCCCAGTGTGCCGATCACCACTGGGACCACCTTTACTGGCTTGTGCCAGAGTCTTTGCAATTCTATCTTTAAATCCTCCTCCTCCTTCTTCTTCTTCTTCTTTGCAATTCTATCTTTAAATCCTCCTCCTCCTCCTCCTCCTCCTCCTCCTCCTTCTTCTTATTATGTTTATTTATACTGTGCTTTTTCTCTCCACAAGGAGACTAAAAACTACTTGCATTAAAAGCATTTCAAAACAATTTAAAATCTACAAATGTACAAACATTAAAACAGAATTAATTATCAGTGGGGTTAAAAAAATAGGCATAAATCTTGAATAAGGTAACTGTTAAAACAGGGTAAGTTACCACTGTTACCATAAGAATTTGAGGAAGAATTCACTGGGGATTAAGTGCGTTTAAATTTATTATTTGTTGATTTTTTTCATGATTGTTCTAGCGACTGCCAAGCTGAATATAGAATGAAAATTGGTACTTTGCTTAGTTACAGCCATAGTTTTGAATCTACATTACCATATAATTCCATTCTAGCAGTGAACCACCCAATTTATTTTTTCTTGAAGGCTTCTGAAGAAACAGTTTTTTCATCGAGCACTAAAAGTAATGAAAATGAAACCAGACAAGGACTTAAAGAAAGAAAAGGAAAAAGAGAAAGGAAAGACTGAGAGTGGAAAGGAAGATGAGAAAAAGAGCAAAAAGGAAAGTGGGAAAGATGAGAAGGCTAAGAAGGAAAAAGAAAAGGAAAAGAAAAAGGATGGTGAGAAAGAAGAAGGAAAAAAGGTGAGTATAAACTGCTAAGAATGGTGGATTGAATTGCATTCCATTCAAAATAAAATGAAAATTGACTGATAAAACTCACTGCAAAAAAATAATAATAATGTGAAACATTCCCCTAAGATTTTCTGTTTGTTTTTTCCTGCCTATCACATTTTTTTTCATAATATTTTGATGTACTTCAATTATAGTTCCATAACAGTTTGTTCTGGAAATCTTTGCAAGCAGAAATGGAAAAAAAAAACTTGAAAAGAATATAAACTTCATTCAGCACTCATGTTAACAATAGTAGTTACTAAAACATTTAACAACTTTGGGAATACTGGAATAGTTTCTAATTTTGGAAGATACAAAGACTACTATAATTTGGAAGAAGAGAAAGGATTTAGTAAAATATCTCAACCAAGATGCAACTATGCATTAGGAAAGCTTAAACAAGATGAGATGTGCAACAGAACATTTAATTGTGGAGCATGTCTTCTGTCAGTCATGCCTTTTTCCATTCTCCTTCTCCAGTTTTCTTTTTCTCTATTTCTCCCACCCTCAAACACTGAGTTTGTTTTAACAACTGAACGTGCCCAAACTAATATTCCATATGCTGTACCTATAGTGACCTGTCAGATGCTATAAGAAGCCCTCAAACAGGATATACAACTTGTTGCAAGCCTCTATCCACTTCTTCGCTTCTGTCAACAATTGTATTTTAGGGCCCCCTGGTGGCACAGTGGGTTAAACCACTGAGCTGCTGAACTTGCTGACCGAAAAGTTGGTGGTTAGAATCCAGGGAATGGGGTGAGCTCCCGCTGTTAGACCCAGCTTATGCCAACGTAGCAGTTTGAAAACATGCAAATGTGACTAGATCTATAGGTACCGCTTCAGTGGGAAGGTAACGGCACTCCATGCAGTCATGCCAGCCACATGACTTTGGAGGTGTCTACGGACAATGCTGACTATTTGGCTTACAAATGGAGATGAGCACCACCCCCCAGAGTGAGAAACGACTAGACTTAATGTCAGGGGAAATCTTTACCATTACTAGATTAAGTTTACATTTTTAGACAAGATTTAATTTTGTTTGCCCTCTTCAGTTGCAGGATTATATCCAGACACTTATTTGTGGTTTCTAGTGTCCTGATTAGTACAGCTAGATGTGGAACATTGATACATCGGCCCAAACTTATAGGCCTCTCACAGGAACATGGGGTCAAAGAATAAAACTGTGTAACAAAATCTGATTTTTTCCTGTTCCTGGTTTGAAAGTGTTATTTCCTGTTTAATTGTGTGGTATTTACTTTGAAAGTAGTTATTATCCTTCAGAAACTTGGTTTTTGTGTCTTCCACAAACTATGTTGAATTGGTTGAGGCTTTATGAGATATTCATTGGAAAACTATAGCAACATCTGCTGCAGGATGCCCTGCAAAAACAATGTATGCAGTTAAATACATTTTCCCAATTTTTATGATAGAATCAATTAGGAAATTACATGTATAACCTAGGAACAAAAAAGTGTAATTTTTCAGTTCAGTGGTTTTGCAGTGATTAGTGGCGCAGGACCCCTGCGAAAGTGGAAAAACTGCTATTTAAAAATATACTTTTTAACTTGAAAGATCGCCTTTTTAGGAATCTCTAGGTCAGGCATGGGCAAACTTTGGCCCTCCAGGTGTTTTAAACTTCAACTCCCACAATTCCTAGAAGCCCCAGGCCCTTTCCTTTCCCCCCTCAGCAGTTTAAATACCCAGAGGGCCATGTCTGCTCTAGGTCCTCCAAGGTGAATCTATGGTCAACTTCCTCTGGTTTATTTTGAAAGTCTGAACTTCACTTAACCCAAATTTTCTAAGAGTTTCAGAGTTGTTTGGAAATTGTTTAATAAGCATATATTTGTTATATATGAGAAATTGCATATTTCTTATGTTATTATTTAATTCTTGCTAATCTTTTGATGTACATGTGGTTTGTTTTGGGTTAGGGTGGGGTAGATTATTTTAATTTTAATTTAATTTTATTTTATCTCGGTCTAGTTTTTAATGGCATTGAATATTTGTCCATATTTGTTGTTAACCGCCCTGAGTCCCCTCAGGGAGATAGGGCAGGATATAAATAAAGGTTATTTTTATTTTTATATTATATGTTCAAGCAATTTGTGTTCAAATAGAAATAGCTTATATTGGAACTTGATATTCTAAGAACAAGAATAGAATCAGTGGGCAGAATAATCAGTAGTTGTATCTTTCTCACCGACTGATCTCTAATTTTAGACTGAATAATTAACCAAATCATAGTTTTAAAACTTCCTGTTAAGGTTACATTTCCTTAATGCCGGTGAAAGGTTTTCTGTAGATTTAAGGAAATGTTTAGTTCTAAAGGTATATTCCAGATTGAAATCCATAATCTGAACTGGAATCTTCATTTTAGCATTTTGTTCTTTCTGGTCAAACAGTAGCAGAGGGAGGGGGTGACAGTAAAGAGCCCACTCATATGATCAATTTCCTAAAGAGCCTGTTTCTAATATATATCTTTAGGATGAGACCCCGGGCACACCTAAAAAGAAGGAGACAAAGCGGAAGTTCAAACTTGAACCTCATGAAGATCAGGTTTTTCTGGATGGAAATGAGGTATGATATCTGATCATCTCGGTTGCTGTAATTTTGACATTTTTCTGTCTGTAATATTTAGTAGCGATACCAATGTAGAGGCACCCACTTGCCTGACTGAATTCTTCCTGGATTGCTTAGTATAGAATGAGAATAAGTTTAAGAGCTGTCTGTATGGAAATTTAATTGTAAAAATCAAATGGAACAAAAAAATTTGGAAAATGTATATAGAAATTCCAGGCCAGGATTAGAGTTGATCTTGGTCTGATTAAACAAGACGGTTTTTATGTCTTGATACTAGGCTTGTGACTTGCCAAGTTATTTATGCTTTGGAAAACAATGATCTTCCTGCTGCGTGAAACTGAAAAACTTGTGGATCATGCAGTAAAATTGCTTTCAGAATAAGGAAGCATGCCATCTGTTTTTCTGCCTCCAGCAAGCACAACCATTTCTGGTCTGCCTGAATCTTTAGACATGGCAAAGATTATAGGTTGTGTAGATCACAGGAACAATTCAACAGGGGGAGGAGAACCTGAACTTTGTATTATTTTGTCTTGACTCTACCTCCTGTTCATTTGTTTTCTCAATGTTCAACAGTAAACCTGTTTTGTATTTTTCCCTTTTCTCTCTTCAGTCATTATTCCGAGTCTTCATTATTTTCTGCTAATAGTATCTTAATTGGTTTGCTCTGAGTTTTCTGGGCTATATGGCCTTGTTCTATGGCAAGCATCCTCAGAGGCTGAGGAATCTGTTGGAAACTAGGCAGGTGAGGTTTATATATCTGTGGAATATCCAGGGTGGAAGAAATAACTCTTGTCTGCTTGAGGCAAGTGTAAATGTTGCAAATGGCCACCTTGATTAGCATGTAATGACCTTGCAGCTTCAGTGCCTGGCTGGTTGCTGCCTGGGGGGAATCCTTTGTTGGGATGTGTTAGCTGATCCTGATGGATTCTTATCTGGAATTCCCCTGCTTTTTGGGGTATTGCTCTTTATTTACTGTCCTGATTTTAGAGATTTTTAATACTGATAGGTAGATTTTGTTAATTTTCATGATTTTCTCCTTACTGTTGAAATTGTCCTGTACATTCCACAGATATATAAACTTCACTTGCCTAGTTTCCAACAAATCCCTCAACCTCTGAGGATGCCTGCCATAGACGTGGGCAAAACGTCAGGAAAGAATGCTTCTGGAACATGGCCATACAGTGCGGAAGAGTCACAGCAACCCAGTGATTCTGATCATGAAAGTCTTAGACAACACAGTATCTTAATTTTTTGAAGTCTCGTGCTTGAATTTTCACATCTCCATCTGCAAAATTGAATTCAGTTTGTGTTGGATACATTCAGCATACAAGTTAAACAAGTAGGATGACAAACTATCGGCTTCATAAAATTTCATCAATTACTCCGACTTCATTTCTTGATCCTAGGCCAAATTCTCCTACAGTGTTTGGTTCTACTCTGTTTCTACTTTTGTGTGGTTTAGCATTGTCTTCTTCGTAGTTAGCTATGGTGTCGTTGGGAGATCCTCTGCCAATATCAACCTCCACTACCGCTGTTGCCCAATAGTCTTTTGATACATTTAGCCTGGCTCCCCAGCCTGTCTCACATGGGAGACCCAGAAGCTGCACTGCTGTCATCAACATAGCTTCTTGCTTCACAGAAGCACAAATCCTATCACCACAGAAAGATAGTGCTGTTGTAAGGTTTGCAATGATCTACTTCTCGTGAATTTGTTCACACTCTGTATCATTCTTCTTAAACTGTAGGATCACAAATGGGATCCCCTTAGCTTGATGTTGCGGCCCCAATTTTTTTCCGAAAGCCTCCTAGTAGCTGCTTTAGACATTTACATGATCCGTGTGCAGTGTTTACAGTGGACTCTGCAGAAGATGCTTCAGCTGTATGTCATTAAAAGGAATACCTTGCAAATGCAGATTTGTTATCATGTTTGATTTTTACACCTATTTTATAAGTCTATATACCTGGGGTGACATTGAGACCAAAGGGGATCACCAATGGAAAAGTTTAAGAAGCCTCTGCTCTATATAAAGCACTGGCTGTATTGCAATGTGCCATAAGTCCATTATGCATTGTGTGACAAGAAGGCCTTTGTTCAAAGTCTCTCTTAAAATGTGGACTATCTGTATCGCTCGCTAATCCTGAACTGGCACTTAACTGGGGACACTTGATTCATTCCGCAACAACACAGCCTTTTAGGGAAAAGTAAAATTTCCTGTAAAATGGAAGATTAAGGTTTTATTTCTGTATGTATAAGACAGGCACAGAATTATTTATCTTATGAGAGAGCCTTCTTGGTTTGGAACTCCCTCTGTAAGGAGGCAAAGACAACTTCTGCCTTGCTATCCTTTTTTGGACAGATGAAAACTTTTCTGTTCCATTAGGATTTTGTAACTGACTAAAGGACAACTGTTTTGTTGGTGTATGATGATTTTGTTCTAAATTATTTTAATTCTGTGGATACTTTAGTTGTATTTTAATTAATAAAATTTTGTTTATTTTTACTTGTCAACACCTTGAGTCTCCATTCTGGAAAAAAGGCAGGTTATAAATAGCATGGATATCTAAATGAATGATAATCGTATTCAAGAATATTTCTGAGATTAGGCTTCTCTGTCTTTTAGTGTTAAACCATAATGCAATACAGATTAAGATTAGTGGCTAAGCAAACCAACCAGATATATTACCTTCTTTTGCACAAGAAAGCCAGATTCAATGTCTGCTTATTAAAGATGTTCAACTCAGTCTGCGGTTGCATTTCAAGAAAAGACAGATCCATCTTTCAGGACAGAGTTTAGAAATTACAGACCACTTAATTATAAAACTGTTTACAAGACATGACTTTCACATTTATCAAGACATATTAAAAGCCTAGCTTTGGTTAAATAATTATTTATCCTAGACCATAATAGAGGAATGGTGACAAGCGATGATGATGATAATAATAATAATACCTTTATTTGTATCCCGCCACATCTCCCCGAAGGGACTTAAGCACTCAATAGTGCAACAAAATACAAATACAACAAAATACATATCAATAAAATTGACCCGATTCTACTTAAAACAGCAATAAAACACTTATTAATTTAATCAATATAATAAAACGCAACAAGATACAAAAATAGCGGCTGTGTACAATATCAGTCCCCATAAAGTGGAGAAATGAAGCAACTCGGGTATTTACAATCTAGAAACCATGTGTCAGACTTGCATTCCTCATTTTATGACACTTGACATTTTGACTCTTTGGTTTTTACGACTTGGGATGTTCAAGGAAAAATAGCAACCTACTTTATACATGACTATTGCTTCACTAGTCAAGTATTATTAACACTGACTAGCAGAAGTTCCTTGACTTTCAGGAAAGAGTTGATATTTCCAGCCTTAGGTGAGAAGCCAAGCATCACACCTGGAACTTTATACAGGCAAAACAAGTGCTGTATCCTGAGCTCTGCTTCTCCTTTCAGTTTATAATCTCCCATCTTGGTATCTCCTATCTTATCCAGTCTATGTTTTTGTTCATATTTTTATTGCCTTCAACCTGCCATTTCCAAAATAGAATGTCAGAGAATATAATCCTTTCTTGTGTGCATAAGACCTAGCTAAGTAGTCTTAATGCTTGTAATCAAATGGTAGAGATCAAGAATTTTCTTGGGGGCAATTATGGAATTAGCAGACCCCCTATGTAATTGGTTTAGTATTCCCAGAGCCATTTGTGTGAAAAATTGCTTTATATTTGTTTGTATGTTCTCAATCTAATGTCAGCAAATTGACTGACTCCTAGTTCTACTTAATGAAAGATTTTCTCTGCCCTAAGTTTATAAATCTTTTATCATGCCCCTCATGTATTGCTTGTTTATTTTCATTTTTGGCTTGGTAACAAGCCCTTTCTGTGTAATACAGGATTTCCAAGATCAGCTGAATTACCTTTTCCCTCACCTTTCGTAGACTCAGTGGCAGCCTTCCTGTGACTGAGACTTTATAAATGCATGTAATGATAGTATGGGCCTGGGATTTTTTATTTTCTCTGCAATCCCTAATCTAGATTTTACATTTTGTATTCACTGCCTCTTGAATTACGCTGATATTTTCATCAAACTTTCCATTGTGATGCCATACTCTCCTTTCTGCAAAATCACAATCTAATAAAGATATAATAAAATATTGATTTAAACTTAGGACTTTTATTTGCCCTACACTGCAGTATTTCATCCTTACATGTTTAAAACTGTCTTGTGTGGTTGCCCATTTAACCATTTGGAAGAAAACATTTTCTAGTTCTGAAGTTTCATCATCTTGAATAATTCATAGTAATTGCATGAAAGTGGAATATTTCCCCTTGGAAAACAAGATGACTAACTCAGCTTGAGGATTTTATCCTACATTTCTTTGACTTCTCTGCCTTGCTAAAGCAATGAAGAACCAGTGGAAGTCATCTTCAAACAGTTTCCCCCTAAATCTTGATCTCCAGTTTAATTTTTGCTTGTCTATTCTCCTTCCAGGTATATGTGTGGATTTATGATCCTGTTCATTTTAAAACATTTGCCATGGGACTCATACTTGGTAAGTAATGCTGGTTACTCTATGTAACAAAATTCAGGGGGGAAAAAAAATCTGTTCTTGGTTTCAAAGTGTCATTTCCTGTTTACTTGGGCGGTGCATACTTCGAAAGTAGTTGTTATACTCCACTGCTGGCTCTTCAGTTTTACTAGTTACTTTTAATAGTGTTGCATCACCCACTTGATGTTTCCAGATATATTGAGAAAGGCAACAAATAAACAAACCCAAAACTGGCCAAGCTTCTATTTTCTCAAATCAGTGTTAGAACTGGCTACATATGAGGGGTATTTTTTAAGTAAGGTCCGTTGGAACGTAAGTACACAACGAAAGTTTATTTGAAAAAAGTAAATTTATTTTCAGAAAGTACATACTTCACTCTATTTTTCGACAAAGTTGCCAAGTTTGTTCAAACACTTGTCATACCTCTGAACCAATTTTAAAATACCCTCTTCATAAAAATTTGCTGCCTGCTCCGATAACCAAATCGTCTGTAATCAAAGAAGGGCGACCGGAGCGGTCCTCATCATGGACGTTGTCACGGCCATCTTTGAATTGTCATACCCACTTACGCACTTTGCTTTCACTCATAACAATATCACCGTACACTTCACAAATATGTCGATGAATTTCTGCAGCAGGCAGGTTCCTTGCTGACAAAAACCGTATCACTGAGCGAAGCTCACATGCGTCGGGTGAGTTGATAGTCTTAAACATTTTTAAAGCACAGAACAGAACCGTATAGGTTAGCTACAGAGCGGAAACTGAACACAGTTGTTCCCGAGGCATGCCGGTACATGACGCACGCGCTCGTTGCGGTATGTGCGCGAACTACTAGTGTCTACAACAAAACGGACCTTACTTAAAAAATACTCCTCGTATTATCTCAAGTCAGTGTTAGAGCTCCTTAAACTGTGGGTCCTTACCCCAAATGCCTTAGTTCAATGTTGGGATCACAAAGGGGTTTGCGAGTGGAAAAAGTATAAGAAGCCCTGTTTTAAATGACTGACAGATTCAAGTGATGCTGATGGATTGTGCACCTTAATTTCATGTTTTAGGCTCCTTCCTAAGAGTTTGTACTGGGGATAGGGATTCTACAACTGTCCAGGGGTAGAAAGTGTCCTTCTCTCTCCTACATTTGAAGTCCTTAGTATTTTTATGAGGTAGTTTTATCTATCTTCATTTATTAATTAGTAACATGCAGAATATTTTTGAATGTGTATATAGTAAAATGAGAGCCTGTTACATATTCTTAACAGATTTATATAAATTGTAGACATCTTTAGTGAACACATTTCTAGAGTTGCATGATGATGATGATGATGATGATGATGATGATGATGATGATGATGATGATGATTTATTTATCGTGTCATTAGCAACCAGACATTTGTATTACATTTTAAACAAAAACAAGCAAACAGACAAAACACAGAATTTGCAAGCTTGGTGGTTGATTAAATGTCCTTTGACTAGTAGCTGGCCACTTGGAGTGCCTCTGGTGTTGCCGCAAGGAGGTCCTCCATTGTGCATGTGGAAGGGCTCAGGTTGCATTACAGCAGGTGGTCAGTGGTTTGCTCTTCTCCACACTCGCATGTCGTGGATTCCACTTTGTAGCCCCAATTCTTAAGATTGATGATGATGATGATGATGATGATGATGATGATGATGATACTGTATTTCCATCCTCGCCCTATTTTCCCATAGGGACTCAGAGTGGTAATGAAAGAAGGGAAGATGAGAATTGTTCAGTGCAGAGCCTTATTCCTGCATACTGGAGCCACAAGGCTGCTATGGTAGTTCTCCACCAAAATGATAAATAGACAAGAGAGTCCATACTCACATTCTAGATATGTTTCCCAAGCAGGCCTTGGGATAGTTCTAGGGGAGCCCATCTCACATGACTGAAATGGAACAAAGAACATGGTTTCTAATGCTTCCAAGGACTCCCAACGTTTCAGTTTTTTAAATGGTGGTGCATAAAAGGGATAAAACACCCCCATCTTAGTTATCCTGTTCTCTTTAAATGGATAGGATAGAATTAAAGTGATACAGTGCTGTATGTAAAGGTTGCAGGACAGGAGGCCAGAAAAAATTCCAGGGAATTCTGAATGAACTCTTTATTATTCATGACTGGGAAGGTCCTATCTGGTTTGATAGCACACTCTATTTTCATCATGCACACATTTGTGTGTCAGTCCAATTGAAAAGAATGTATGTTTGTACAGCTCAGACAGATTATGGTGATGCTTTTTTGAGAGAATTTTACACTGAGTTGTTTCCATGATTTATGAAGATACTTAATTCACCTTTACAAATCAGCTGTGACTCAAAATGTACTCTTTTCTGAATGAAAGTGAGGGGTGTGATGGAAGCATTAGGTTTCAATCAATCAATTACCAGGAGCTATTGTAGTCATGTTAAAATGCCAGTTACTGAACATGTTTTTAAGGCGGTGCCAGTTTATGCAATTAAATCTATTATTATTATTATTATTATTATTATTATTATTATTATTATTATTATTTCTTTCCCACCTCTTCTTGTGGCTCGATGTGGGTTAAAAACACATAACCCATCTAAAAACATTCTATAAAATACACATATCAAAGCATATTTCTGCAAAATACATATTAAAATTCACAGAACAAAACTATTCATTTGTTTTTGAATTTCTTAAGTCTCTCATGCTTAATTTCTCTCTTTTTAAAAACAGTGACAGCTGTTATAGCTGCAACTCTGTTCCCGCTCTGGCCTGCAGAGATGCGAGTAGGGGTTTATTATTTGAGTGTCGGAGCAGGTTGTTTTGTGGCCAGCATTCTCCTCTTGGCTGTTGGTAAGTGCATCTTGTTTATCTTTTCCTTCCACCCTCCATGCCTACAGGTTGACTTTAAGTTCTCCATAGGCTTAACCTGTTTTCCTAGATGGCTGCTATATGTCACCATTATATCATTTGAAATATAGCTGACAGCAGAGGAGCAGCATTCATGGTTCGTTTCCAGCTTTGAGGCAGACACAGTGTCTCATGGAGTGGTCTGAGCACCATGATTCCTCTAGAGCAGGCCTGGGCAAATTTCATCCCTCTGGGTGTTTTGGACTTCAACGGAATATTGGGAGTTTGTGTAGCCCGGAGAAGGTTTAAGAAGTAACATGATAGCCATGTTTAAACATTTGAAAGATGTCACATTGAGGAGAGCTGGTTTTCTGCTGCTCTGGAGACATAAATTCAAATCGCTGGAAAAGTGCTGTTTGACAGTCAAATATGCTGCTTCAGAGTGTGGCGCAGTCTCCTTTCTGAGGGTGTTAGAGGCTGGATGACAATCTGTTGGGAGTGCTTTGGCTATGTATCTCTGCATGGTAGGGGTTCACGTGGGTGACCCTAGTGGTCTCTTCAAACTCTAGGATGGTATAATTCCATATATCCCACCTAGAAGCTTGCCTGTGTTGTCTATTTAGAAATAAACTCTGCATTTTACAAATATCATTAAAATATTTGAAATTTCCTCCCTGCAGCCCGCTGCATCCTGTTCCTTCTCATCTGGCTGATGACAGGCGGAAGGCATCACTTCTGGTTCCTGCCAAACCTGACAGCTGACGTGGGCTTCATCGATTCCTTCCGACCGCTGTATACTCATGAGTACAAAGGACCAAAGGCCGACTCAAAGAAAGAGGAGAAGTCGGAATCCAAAAAGCAGCCCAAATCTGACAGCGAAGAGAAATCTGATAGCGAGAAAAAGGAAGACGAGGACGGCAAAGGCGAACAGCTGGGAAACTTGGGATCTGAAGGCTCTGGAGGAGAACGGAATTCAGACACGGACAGCGACCGGCGAGAGGATGACCGCTCTCAGCACAGTAGCGGCAATGGAAACGATTTCGAAATGATAACTAAAGAGGAACTCGATCAGCAGACAGATGAAGGGGATTGTGAAGAAGACGAGGAAGAGGAAGAGGACGAGGAAGATACTAGGCCTTTACATGAACAATCGTAATTAGCTATAGTTTGGGACTGAATATTGTGCAGGCAGTTGGATTTTCTATGTTGGCTGGAACACCATCTTAACAGCGTTTTCTTCTTCTTATTTACTGAAATATACAGTTTAGCCAGACAGCTTTATAACATCGTTCCTAATTTGTTGTTACAAAGAGGAGAAATGAAACAAAATACTTAGCCAGATAAGTTCTAAGTAATCTAATGTACACTTACGAAAGCTATGTGTTTCACATCTTGTCAATCAGTAGATGTTTTGATCTGTCTAGAGAATGTCTTCAAGCATAACTGAAGAACATAGTTTTGCTTAACAATATTTTTGGGAGATTGCATGTTTGCAGTAAGTGAACACTTCCAGAATAGCAATTTAAAATGGTAATTGTTGAATGACCCTAAGTCTCAAGTTTAGTCCAGGTAGGTTAATTTGATTGCTGCTTACGACAAAGTACTCTTCAGTTTATCATATTGATACTGTTATTAATCTTTATAAAACCGTAAGACTTTTTCTTAGAACGTTTTGTTTGAGAAGAAAACCTTTTTTCTTGAGATATGCAAAATAGTGCTAACTTGGCTGTAGGGTTATTATAAGCTTCTTTTTTCTAAAACTGTGTCCAACCAGCTTAGGAAATCCAGCCTGTTCTGTCCGCCTGGTTCAGGGCAACGGAGTCATCTCTAGCAGGTTTAAAACGAGAAAAAGAAAACAGCGTAATTTGGAAGTTACAGCTGCCGTTTTGACCTGCCCCACTATAATACAAAAAAAAAGTGTATTCTGTACATAACATACAAATAAAGTAAACCCCTTATTTTACCTGTTACTTATTATTTGAAGGTTTTATCCAGTTTTCAGTTTGTTAATTGAAGGCCCTTTCAGGATGTGTGTGTTTTAGGGGAGCACGAGTCTCAGAGGCCTCGCCAAACCAGAGAGGCTGGCAGCTGCGTCCAAGGCAGCTTCAACCCTGTGCCAACATTCCTATTATTCAGGTTCAAGAAAACGGATCCTAATTTAATAGCAGGCAGCATAGTTCTTTGTATGCCTTAACGTTAACCTTTGATTTCTTTCTGTTTTCAAAAAGCAGAGTACTGTATCTGATGAGTAGACACTGCCATGAAAGAACATTCACCTCTTTAGAAGGAAGGGTAGGCATAAAAGTTTTAAAAGATAACCAAGACCAAATCGTTTCTTGAAATCTTGAAAGGAGTTTCAGTGATTCACTTTCTCTCTTGCACATCCTCTATTTGACTGACTTGGGAGATCATTGTGTGTTTAGTTCTATAAACATTTTTAAAGTTGCGACTTTGCATCATTCCTCTGAATCATTGAATTTCAGCCTGAGACTGAAATTACGAGTACAGATTCAGCTCTTTCTCGCAAAGTGACTGAGGAGATAATGCTAGTTATTTGCTTGCATTTCCAGTAGTTGACATAAGCAGGTTTCTCCTTTCCTTCTTGAACTGCTTTTTCCATCACCAGTGTTTTGACTGAAGATGTAAATTTTTTTCTGACTGTGCAAATATATACATTTTATGTGTGCATTGATAAAAATCATTCACAAATGTGGTCTGATTTTCTTATTCCTGTTCCTGTTGTTTAGCTGCTGCTAAAGTAAACAGCACGAGGCTTTCATTTTTCTGTTTCTTTGGACAGCAATATGTCTTGAGTTGCTGTGAGTTTTCTGGGCTGCATGGCCATGTTCCAGAAGCATTCTGTCCTGATGTTTTGCCCACATCTATGGCAAGCATCCTCAGAGGTTGTGAGGTACGTTGGAAACTAGGTAAGTGGGGTTTATATATCTGTGGAATGGACTCTTGTCTGTTTGAGGCTAGTGTAAATTTTGCAATTGGCCAGCTTAATTAACATTGAATAGCCTTGCTGCTTCAAAGCCTGGCTGCTTCTTTTTTCCTGCCTGGGGGAATCCTTTGTTGGGAGGTATTAACTGGCCCTGATTGTTTCTTGTCCGGTATTCCCTTGTTTTCTGAGTGTTTTTCTGTCCTGATTTTGGAGGGGTTTTTTTTAATACTGGTAGCTTCAAACAGACAAGAGTTCTTTCTCCCACTCTGGACTTTATTCCACAGATATATAAACCTCACTTGCCTAGTTTCCAACAGACCTCACAACCTCTGAGGATGCCTGCCATAGATGTGGGTGAAAGGTCAGGAGAAAATGCTTCTGGAACATGGCCATACAGCCTGGAAAACTCAAAGCAACCCAGTGATTCTGGTCATGAAGGCCTTTGACAACACAGTGTGTCTTGAGTTCTACTATTTCAGTTAGCAAAGTGCAGTAATTTTTCTCTGACCACCTCATCATCACAGTCTATTTAGATGACAGTGTTTTGTGTCTCCATACATTTACTAGAAACCTTCCTTCAGCCAAGCAGTTAATCCTCAACAGTTTATTGTCTTTGTGCAGAAGCAGATCTTCACTGCTATTCTACTTCCTTTTGTTGGAGGCACATAAAAGCAAACTACTGGTAGTTATTTATGTTTATGTGAAATGCTTTTTATAACTAGTCACTGCATGTGTAACATAGGAACGGAAAGTGAAGCACAACTTGTAAAAATCGATCAGAATTTCTTTTAAAACTGTTCACTTGACGCATTATCGTCATCTTTTTTTCTGAAATTAGAAACAAACACATTTTGGGTCTAAAATAAGGATTTTTTTTTGGGGGGGGTAGCAAATGTGCCCCATTGCCATGTAGAGCAGGGCTTTTTAAACTTTTTGCACTCACAACCTCTTTCCACCCATTTTTTTACAAGACTCCAGATATGTAAAATAGGCATAGAAATCAAACATTTACTTATAATAAATCACCATTTAGCAAGGCTTACTAAACAGGCTCATTTTCCTTTTTGTGGAGTACAAGTGAAGTATCTTTTGCAGAGTCCACATTGTTGCTAACATATTTGTGTAAATGGATGTTGTTCGGAAACTATTTACTGTTGCCAAAATGCTTAGTGACCTCAACATGGAGCAAAGTTGGGTGATTTGGAGGAATTTTTTCCCCCAGTTTTAAACTTGAAGATGTAGAGATATTTTGAGGGCATTTGGGAGAATAGGAAAAGAAATTTGAGGTCTTCATCCAATGAATTTAGCTCTAGAAGCTGCTTTTTGGACAGATGGGAAGGGTTTTAATGAACAGGAGGAGTTAGGTGAAGGATTTGGAGGGAATTCAAAACCAATATTGGATTCCAGTGCCTTAAATACAGAACTCTAGTACCGTACAAAGGAGTGAGACACACGTTTAAAATTATAAGGACACTTCTGTCTGTTGGAACCAATTCCCCAAAACAATGAAAATTTTGGCATATAAACCTAGAGCAGTGGTTCCCAAGCTGTGGTCCGAGGACTACCAGTGGTCCACAAGAACTAAAATATGGTTCACGGCCTCACTGTTATTACACCGTTGCAACAAGAATGACTTGTCTCGCAAAACCCTCTTATAGTGCCGAGGCTTATTAAATATGGTTTTCTGTGGGCAAGCGGATGGCAACTACTGGATGGCATATGTTCTATATCAGAAACTAGAGCTTATGTGGTCTCTCCAATGCAGTTTTCTAAATCAGCACCCCAAATAACCAAACCGAATCTAAAGTCGCCCAAAAACTGATTTGTAACCCTTTTGGTACTAATGTTGGAGAGTGGTGCCTGGTCAAAGTGGTCCCTCGTCAAGTGGTCTCTGGTCAAAAAATGGTTGGGAACCACTGACCTAGAGGGACTTTTGGAGTAGATTTGGTTTTTGAACACATTAATTTAGTTAAAAGTGTCTGACTTTGAACCCTGCTATATCATGTTCAGTCTATAGGTGGCAAACCTTCCTCACTAATATATAGTTTTGTTATCCAGGCAAGGTTAAGACAGGGAGTAATAGCCTGAGAGACAGAGTTATAGGGATGCAGAGGCATTCACAGCAGCTGGTGTCTATGTGTGTTTTTCCAAACTTGACTATTGTGCACCTTGCTTTAAGGTTTGGGTGTATCAAACAAAGGACTATGCCAACATGTTTGACAATTTCCACCAATAACAATCCTGTGCAAAGTGTTGAAATATTAAACACTGTCATTCAATATGTCAGCCATGCTCTCTGTCTTAACACAATCCATTCCATGCCCCTTAGTCCTCTGATTTTGTGGTTATTGGGTTTTTCACCCACAAAGGACTGTTTCGTATTGCTTGCTTACCCCGCACCATATATTTAAAAAATTACACTATTTGTACTTGGGATTTCACAATCCTCAGGTAACTCATGTTTATATGTGGATGGTACTACTTTGGTTGCACAAAGGACCCCAAGTTTAGTGAATGAGTGTGCTGTTACTGTAAAACAAATACCCTTGCAAACACACACAAAAGTATAATTTAAAACAGTTCTGGCTTTGCAAAACTACTTCTGGAAATGTGCAGTGTCTTCTTATATCCTCATTCTAGACAGGTTTTCAGATCTTTTCCATTAAATACATCAGAACATGACAAAGTGTCGTTTGTGGGTCAAATGCTGTTTGAAAGTATTTCTGTGGTCTATGGCCCAGCTGGAAACAACTGGTTTTTTAAAAGCCATCTCGAGACATGAATGCCAATTTTCTTTTCAGTTGTCAAACTTTCCCCAAGAAGTAAACGTCTTCTGATTTTTTGGCTACAGTCTGCATCTGCAGTAATCTTCATGCCTAGAAATGCAAAGTCTGTCACTGCCTCCACGTTTTCTCCCTCTATTTGCCAGTTTTCAATTAATCTGGTTGCCATAATCTTGTTTTTTTATGTTTAACTGCAACCCAGCTTTTGCACTTTCTTCTTTCACCTTGGTTATAAGACTTCTCAGCTCCTAAATGGTTCAGTACTTGGGCTCTTATACTCCATAATTCTCAGACAGCAGTAGCAGGTAGTAGTGCTGGATAACAAGAATAGGTACTGTAATGCATCTGGGCAGTCCCAGTTTGGGAATTGGTGCTCAATAGGTATAGTAATATAGCTTTTTTGTTGTTCGCAACTTATTTAACTTTTTTTCCTCATGGAAAAACTACATTTGCAGGTATACTCTACTGTCTACTATGTTGCACACACACAATCTCATCCAATTGGAAAGATATGCAGAGCGAGCCTGGTTACCACATATGGCCATTGCTCAGTGATTCATGTAGGGCCTATTGTACAAGCTGCACTCTCTTCGATACTTCCATAATTCATCCCATTGAAAATAACATAGTTCACTATTATCTGCAATTTCATGCATCCACTAAAGTTGGGGAATGTACCACCTATGGATATGGGGGCTGTATTGTACCTGAATGGAAGGCCATCAGGGATCTTGATAAACGATTCAGAATTAACACTATTTGAAACCTGGGAGATTACACCATCAGTTTCCTCCTCTAGATTTTTTTATGGAAAAATGAAAAAGCCACAACAAATGGAGGCTTATTAACTGTGATCCAAATTGGCCTCATTCAGTCTGTTAATTTCCTGTTGCTTCATTGAAAACCTTAGCTTTATCTTCTGCTTGTGTATCTTGTTCACTTACCTGTTTACATTATCTGTATTAGTTTTGGACGATGATGCTTATGCATCCCCAATTGCCTTGGCTACTCTTGTTACTTCTGTGTTATACATGAAATAGAGCAATTTAAAGCAGCCGCAGATAGAACCGAGTCACAGATAGCAAAATGTTGGATATTGTTCAAAGTGATAGGATTATTGAATCCGTTCCTGGGAAAGGGGAAATGTCATTGTGGAAAGCGGAGCAAGTCATCCCAACAACAGGGAAGAAAACGGCAGGTGATTAATGTCTCTTCAAATGTCCAAGTGGCTGCACA